TTGTCGTGGGAAAGAATTTCTTGACCTTGAAGGACAATGCTAGTACAAAGGCTTGAAAAATTGTTCCTGGAAGGTTTTTCAAAACTAAGTGCCCAGCTGACCAGATGCGCTAGGAGACGTACCTGATGGGATGAAGTTACTAGAGCACAGCAAACAAATGAAATTCAGTTAAAGCCATACAAGCATATGAACCTGTTGTAGTGACGGAGGCTTCAGAGATGGAGGGACCCTTGGACTAAGTAAGACTCTGCCTTTGAACTTGACAATGAACCTGGGATCCTGATCTTCGAAAGATGAAATGTGGCCAGATTGAAATGGGGGATGGATCACCCTCTCCATATGGTTATTTGACCTTCCAGTCTGGTGATGGGCTATCAGAGGATTGGAGTAGCTGAAGTCTTCCAAGCTTTGTGGAAATTTGAAGTGGTATTATTTGCTGTCTGGCTTGGGTAACAGTTTGGGGATGGACTCATGTGCAACAAAGCATTTTTGCTGGACATCCACGACTGAAAGGAATCATCAACAAGAGTAAAGGCTAAAGGCAAGAAAGAGACTTAAGGGCCTGGATACGAGACAACTAAAGCAGGAGCCGGATTATCGCAGGTTAAAGGACTGACAATCCCGGGTCCAGGGAGGGGAGGTTATCAGTCTTTGAACTTGATAAATGAACTTGGGACAAACCAGATTCGGAAAGATGAAATGTGGTCAGATTTGGAAATGGGGGGATGGATCGACCCCCCCTCCATATGGTTATTTGGACCTTCCGAGTCTGGTGATGGGCTATCAGAGGATTGGAGTAGCCGAAGTCTCCAAGCTTTGTGGAAATTTGAAGTGGTATTATTTGCTGTCTGGCTTGGGCAATGGGTTTGGGATGGACTTGCTGCAAAGGGTCAAAAGCATTTTCTTGCTGGAGCATCCACGACTGGAAAGGAATCATCAACAAGAGTGGCGAAAGGGGCAAGAAAGAGACTTGAGGGCCTCGGATACGAGACAACCAGGTTAAGGAGCCGGATTATCGAGGTTAAAAGGACTGACAATCCCGGGTCCAGGGGAGGGAAGGTTGGAAGCTGACTGGACTGAATTTGACTTATTATTTTTTCTTTTTATTTTTAATATTGGGAATGCTTACAAATGTTTGAAGGATGTTGAATGAAATTACATGGCTTAAGTAAGGATTGGTAAATGATTCGTAAAAAGGTAATGATGCAAGAATTTGGTAAATATTGAATATAAGCTATGAGTTTTAAAGTTTTTATATGACAAGAGGGAAAATAGAATAAGGAAACGTAATGACAGATTGTTATGAAAAAACAGAAAGGATTTGCTGTAAAAATTAAAAATTAAGAAACAAAAGAGGGAGGAGGAGGAAGTCTAGAAAGGAAGTCAATAGAGATTGTAAAGGACTTTATATTTTTGTTTTTCTGTTTCTCTTTTTTTTTCTTTGCGGCTGGGTTTTCTTTTCTTTTTTGTTTATGTACTATTTTTGTTTTTTGTATCCTCAAATTTTTTTTGGAAATTTTTGTTGTTATTCTTTGAAAATTTAATAAATATCAATTATAAAAAAAAACAAAACTTCAGTTCCCTAATACAGTGATACCTCAGGTTAAGAACTTAATTCATTCTGGAGGTCCGTTCTTAACCTGAGGTACCACTTTAGCTAATGGGGCCTCCCACTGCCACGCAATTTCTGTTCTCTTCCTGAAGCAAAGTTCCTAACCCGAGGTACTATTTCTGGGTTAGCAGAGTCTGTAACCTGAAGCGTCTGTAACCTGAAGCGTCTGTAACCCGAGGTACCACTGTAGAAAGTACTGAAGAAAGTCCTAGCTACTCAGGGAGAGAAGATTCAAATGTGTGAATGTTGTGTTCCCCTTTTAAATGCTGTACTGAACACAGGGATGTCAGGACTGTCTCCACTGCTGAAAATAGTTCACGGTGGAAAGTTCATTGTATGATTGTGTTTGCTCAGTGGTAGAAAACATGCTTTGCTGTCACACAGGAGTGTGCCGGTCTGTAATCCCACATTTCAAAGTTGGAGCTACCTCTTTATTAGCAAAAGCTCCTCAGACTTGGCTGAGTGTCAGGCCTAATGAGCACAGCAGCTCATTCCCAGTGGTCTTACTCCATGAAAATCAGTTGCTGAGGCTGAAAGTCCCTACCTCCTCACAGCCATCTAAGACTCCTCCTCGCCAGGGCTCTTTCCAAGGAAGCAGAGACTGTGCTTGCATGCAGCCAACCTCTCCTATGCACCTCCAACCTCTCCCAGAACCAGAAGAAGCATGAAAGACAAGGGAGGAGAAGGAGACCCCCATGCCTCTTCACCAGCCAGACTCACCCCTGTTTCTTGACCTTCCTCCTCTCCTGCTTCTGCCTCTGGACTTTTCTCTGTGTGCTGGCCCCAGGAGTAACCTGAGAAACACGGTCCAGGACTGGTCCAGAATCTGAAGGTTCTGCTAGGAGTTAGTCCGATGGGGCCAAGGCAGGAAACCAGGCAAGGACAAGTACAGGATCTCAGGCAGGATCTGGCATACAGCAATGTTGCTCCCGCAACCTGGGGCAGGGTCCAACAGCCTTTTATCTTTGTCGGGGTAATGGCTGGTCCTGATCCCCCGGCGACTCACCTCCCTGTTTCGCCCGAAGGCGAGCACTCCTCCTGCGAGTACTCAGCTCTCTCCTTCTCTCAGACCTTAGTCTCTGCATCTCGGGAGATGTCGGTGGGATACTAGACCCAGGGGCTGCCTCAGCCTCTCCTGACCCAACCGGTAGTAGAGCAGCTGTAAGTGATGGCCCAGCTGAAGGCAACAAGGTAATCCCCGCATCTGGAGCCAGGGCAGGCTCAGGCCCCTGACTCAGCCCAGCTGGTGTATTCTGCAGGGGCACCTGTACAGACTGGGACTTTTCAGGATCAGGCCCCAGACTTGTTTCAGATGATGCCTGAGGCAAAGGATCCGGTGCAGACTGAGACCCCTCTGGTTCCGAGTCTGAGCCCGAGTCCCAGGCCATCACACTCTGTCACAGACTCTCCCAGTTCACAAAACCCTGTTGCCCCTTCAGCTTCTGACACCTCCTCTTCCCGGTCTTCTCCCGCTTCTCCGTTGACCACTCATTGTTATCCCACCACCACACCCTGGGCTTTGAGCCTTCTTCCCTTGGTGATTCCCCAGCTGGTTGCTCTCACCATTCCTCTGCATCC